CCATCTCGAGTCCTGGCAGGAAGGCTCGGGACGGAGCGGCTGGGCCCTCGGGCGGCCCTCACCCAAGATGGCGGCGCCCGGCGGGCAGGGCTGTTGATGGCGGGGGTGACGGCGGGGGCCATGGCGGCGGCCGAGGAGCGGAGGCCGGGGGACGCGGGCGAAGAAGAGGAGGAGGAGGAGGAGGTAACCTCGCGCGGGGGCCGGGAGGCCGGCCTCAACGCCGGGCGTCCGCGTTGGATCCGGGGGAGCCCGGGGAGGGCCTAGGCCACGAGGTCCGCTCCCTGGCGGGGGAACACGACTGGGGTGTCGCGAGACTGGGTCGCAGCGTGGAGACCGCGGGCCTCCTCCTGCAGCCTCCTCCTGCCGCCTCCTCCTGCCCGCCTCACGCTGACTCGCTTTTCTCTTCCAGGAGCAGCTGGTTCTCGTGGAACTGTCAGGAATTATCGACTCAGACTTTCTCTCGAAATGTGAAAATAAATGCAAGATATTGGTGAGCCTTCCTGAGCTGGGGGGAGTGTTGTCGATTTTGTTAAATTCAAGACAAGAGTTTTGACCTTAGAAGCTGTGATCTCTAAGGGTCCTCCTAGAACTATGGAAACATAGGAGACAGTGCCTGGCGTTGCTTGATTGTGTGACCGGAGAGGAGTCCTGGAATGTAGAGGAGGTCACATGCACGTCTTGGAATTGCAGAAGTCAAATGTGACTTGTATTCATTTACAATTTTTTGTTTTTGAGTTTTTTTATTTTTATTTGTTTATTTTTTTTGAGTTGGAGTCTCACTCTGTCACCCAGACTGGAGTGCAGTGGCCGCTCCTGGCCACCGCAGCCTCGACCTGCTGGGCTCTGGCGATCCTTCTGCCTCAGCCTTCCAAGTAGCTGGAACTACAGGCACACGCTACCTCGCCCGGCTAATTTTTTGATTTATTGTAGAGATGAGGTCTCGCTGCCCAGGCGGGTCTCGAACCTGCGGGCTCAGGCAGTCCACTCACCTCAGCCTCCCAAGGCGCGGGATTACAGGCTGAGCCACTGAGCCCGGCTTATTTTTATTTTTATTTATTCTTTTTTTTTTTTTTGAGTTGGAGTCTCACTCTGTCGCCCAGGCTGGAGTGCAGTGGCCACTCCCAGCCACTGCAGCCTCGACCTGCTGGGCTCCGACCTGCTGGGCTCTGGGGATCCTTCCACATCAGCCTTCCAAGTAGCCGGAATTACAGGCATGTGCTACCATGCCCAGCTGATTTTTTTTTTATTTATTGTAGAGATGAGGTGTCGCTGCCCAGGCGGATCTCGAACCCCTGGACTCAGGCAATCCACTCACCTCAGCCTCCCAAAGGCGTGGGATTACAGGCTGAGCCACCGAGCCCGGCCATTTACCATTTTAATACTGTTTTTTCCTTTCTTAAAACGTGAATACATTTTTTGGTCACCTTTTGTATATTGAAAAGAACACTCATTTTAGAAAGTGAGGGGGAAGAACACAGTGAAGGGAGGACCTTCAGTGTGCACAGGGTGGACCTGGGAGGAGTGGGGAAAGTGCCTGCTGGGAAGAGACTTCAGGGTCCCACACCCTGCCCTGGCCTTGGGCTAGGCCTGGGAAGCACCAAGTCTGTTTACCACTTTACCCTAAAGTCTTTGAATTACTGTTCAACCTGACAAAGCTTCCTCTATTCTCACCTTGAGCTTGAAGAAGGTATGGATTGAAATAGTCTTTGCTACTTGAGTATGAGCTAGTAACCCTGGGACCACAGCTGCTGTGATCACAGCCTTGACAGGATGCTCTAGGGCAGGCACATCCAGCCCAGGAGAGCTGGTCACACAGCCCCACACGCTTTTAATATCACATGTTTTTTAGCGTTTATTTTATGACCCCATGCGAAGTTCCTTTTGCGAAATTCACAGTCCCATCTTACTCATGACATTGCTTTTTGGCAGCACATATATCTGTGAGCAGTTGTTTTCAATAATGAAATACATGGAGAGGACAATTCGAACAAACATTTCTGATGAGCACCTTGAGAACTCACTAAGAATTGTGACGGCTTCACAGAACCAGACGTGGATAGATTCATTTTATAAACACAAGGTCAAATTTCCCACTAGTTTCATATTGTCCTCATTTCTCACTTTATAATAAAAAATATTTAAAGATAAAATAAGCTTTATTGTGTATATACACTAACTATATTATATAACGTATGTGCGTCCCAAGACAGTTCCTCTTTACTTGATGTGGCCCTGGTTAGCCAAGAGGTTGGACACCCTGTTCTAGAGAGTCCCCAGTTTGGAGATCAGTTTCCTTGGTAGCAAAGTTGTCATGGTGAAGGCTTTTTCTGATAATGGTTTTTTCATGAACCTTTCTTCTGTTTAGGGAATTGACACTGAGCGGCCCATTCTGCAGGTGGACAGCTATGTCTTTGCTGGGGAATATGAAGGTAGGTGGGTGTTAGGTAGATGAACTCCTTTTTTTAAAAAATATGGCTTTCAGAGAATGTGACTTTCAGCAACTTATCTTCAAATTTTTTGCAGACACTCTTGGGACCTGTGTTATATTTGAAGAAAATGTTGAACACGGTAAGTGATTGTTATACTGGCCCAAATCTTCACCACAATTCTGTGGGGGTAGATACCATTTTTGTCTTTGTTTTATTTTATTTTTTGAATTGGAATCTTGCTCTAGAGTGCAGGCTGGTGTACAGTGACAACCTCAACCTGCTGGGCTCAGCCTTCTAAGTAGTTGGAACTATAGGTGCATACTACCATGCCTGGCTAATTTTTTAATTTTTTGTAGAGATGATGTCTCGCCAAGTTACCCAGGCTGGTCTCGAAACCCTGGACTCAGGCAATCCTCTTGCCTCAGCCTCCCAAAGTGCTGGAATGACAGGTATGAGTCTTTGCTTCTGGCTGAGCCACATTTAATTCTGTTCATGATCTCACTACAAAGATGCAGCTACACATACTCCTTTTTGTGTCTCTTTGTGTATACATGGTAAATGGCCCTAAGGTGTTCACCTGGAGATTGAGGACTGAGTGTCTGAGTATATGTATCTTTGGCTTTACTGTTAGGTTGAGCCATGTGGTGTTACCAATTTCATGAGGGTCAGCTCAGTAGACACCGTGTGTTGCTCTTTAAAGTGTGACGCCAGCTTGTGCTTACAGCAGTGGTGCAGGGCAGCCTCAGTGCTCCTTGCCTTGGCCCAGAGCCTCCCCACTCCTGCCCAAGCATAGTTTTCTAAAAGCTTCAGCTCCAGGCAGAAGGCTGGCAACAAGTTTTTCCCCAACTTCTTTCCTGACCGGGAATGTCCCGCTGTACACTCTGACTTCAGGTAACAAGTCTGACTTGTCCTTCACTTTGAGGGGTAGAATTTTAGGTTCCAGTACCTTGCAGGGTCAGATCTCTGGCCCCTGTTTCCCACCACAGGGTGGGAGCCTGTTAGGCTTGTGGCTTTAGCCTCACTCCTAACTCTGTTTCTTTCCCTCTGGAGGTGTTTGTTTTTGTTGTGCCTTCAGATGTTTTGTATTTCATCTGTCATTTATATATGCTTGCAACAGGAGGAATGAGGCACAACTTAAATTTATTACACTATCTTGATAGGAAGTAGTTTAGTGTAACTCCCCAAACTGGAATTATTGGGCCTTTACATCACTGTTTTATTTAATAGCATTAAGCAGTGTAATAATTGAGTTCATTTTATGTTCCAGTGGATACAGAAGGCAGTAATAAAACAGTGCTAAAATATAAATGCCACACGATGAAGAAACTCAGCATGACAAGAACTCTTTTGACAGAAAAGAAGGAAGGAGAAGAAAACATAGGTTAGTTCACACAATTCTCTGAAAATGGGTGATCCCATGTTGACCTTGACAGTCTTGCGTTGCAGCCAGAACAAGTCAGTACTTACACTTTGGAGCAGTAACTCTATGTATATGTTTTATATGTTAAAATCGAGGGTGCTCTGTGAGAAGTGCCAAGCCCAGGTTTAAAATCCAGTGGATCCAACGCAGCCAAGGGCTTGGGGACATGTACAACACCTCTATCTGCTTTGCATTAAACAGTCATGAGGGTTTTGACGGGGACCTTGCTGTGACACCCAAGCCTGAGGGAGTTGTGCAGTACCTCTCTCTCCCTTCCTTTGTCCTCCCTCTGTTTTTCCTCTTCGCTCTAACTTCTTGTACCCTTTTCTAGTTCATACGTGTGGTGATTGGGTTTCCACGCTCACATGTGAGATGAGGGGGTAACCCTCAGATCCAGTTAACATGTTGGCATATTGCCCATCTGGCGAGGGAAGAAAAGCTTCCAAAGTGGAGTGGATATAGTGATTGTAGTGCTAGATTCTCAGAGTTTAACCCCAGGAGATCCCCTGGGAACTTCTGTCAGCTTTATAACCTTTCCCAAGAGGCTAATTGAAAGAGACTGGCTTTATATTTGTTTTGTTTATTTATGTATTTATTTATTTTGATTCGGAGTCTCACTCTGTTGCCCAGGATGGAGTGCAGTGGTACGCTCACAGCCACTGCAACCTCGACCTGCTGGGCTCAGGCAATCCTTCCATCTCAGCCTTACAACTAGCTGGAATTACAGATATGCACCACCACGCCTGGCTGATTTTTATAAGAGGCTGATTTATTGTAGAGGCAAGGTCTCACCAAGTTGTCCAGGCTGGTCTCATACCTGTGGGCTCAGGCAGTCCTCTTGCCTCTATCTCCCAAAGTGCTGGGACTATAGGCGTGAGCAACCACCCTCGGCTTGTTTATTTATTTGAGTCAGGGTCTCACTCTGTTACCCAGGCTTAGTGCAGTGGCACAATCATGGCTCACTACAGCCTCGACCTCCTGGGCTCAGGCAGTCCTTCTGCCTCAGACTCCTGAGTAGCTGGGACTCCAGATGCACGCCACCACGCCTGGCTGATATTTTAATTATTTTGTAGACTAGGTCTTGCTATGTTGCCCAGGTTCTTCTTGAACTCCTGGCTCAAGCAGTCCTCCCGCCTCAGCCTCCCAAAGTTCTGGGATTATAGGCGTAAGCCACCGTGCCAGGCCTAGATATTCTTATTAAAGGAAGTTATGAATTTCCGCTTCTTCTAGTCTTTAATAAGCTGATAGATCTTTGAGGAGATGGGTGTTTTGTAGTCAAATAAATTAGCAACCAGCTATTCAAGTCTGTAAGTTACCTGCTGCTGCCTAACAGGTTACCCCTAAACTTAACAGCAGAAAATAACAGCAACAAAAACCAGCATCTCACACAGTTTCTGTGACTCAGGGGTCTGGGGGCAGTTTAGCTGGGTGTTTCTGACTTGGTCTCTCATGAGGTTGCAGGCAGTGTGCTGTCGGGCTGCATTATCTGAACGCTCGACTGATGCGGGAAGATCTGATTGTAAGATGTGTGTTAGGTCAGTGAACTGAGCTGGTGTTGCAGGTGTGCAAAGAATTGCACAGAAATTAGATTAGAAAAGGAATGCTTATTTAGAAAGTAGAGAAAAAGGGTATATCCACTTCTCTAGGATTGGTGAGGGGGCCAGACACTTAAGGAACATTTGACTGCAAATACTTGAGTTCAAAAGCTTCCCTTTTAGTGGGGGCAGACTGGCAAGCACTCACGTCATGGTGAGGGGGTCTGTCTCTCGTATCTCTGACAACTGGATAGATGAGTGGATCAGTCATGAGCATGTGACAAAAGTGGGTGTGTAGTGGGATGGGTGGTCCGTGCTGGGGGTTGGGGGTGTTAATCACATGGACCAGAAGGGTTGGGCTGGTAGTAGAAAGACAGATTCTTGGGAGATGTTAATCTTAATGTCTTGTGACTCACCCAGAGTTCTGGGAAAGGATTATTGTTGTGTATGAGCTCAAGGAGACCAGAGAAACTCCATTTTGGGCTCCGTCCTCTCACTGGGTGAGTCACACGGCTGGCTGTTTTCAGAGGCTTCATCCTTGCCCTGTGGACTTCCCTCCCACAGGACTGACTCAGTTGCTCCTGACATTGTTGCTGGCTTCTTTCAGATAAAGTAATCCATGCAACAAGGTAGAAGCTACAGTGCCTTTTATGAATCAGCCTTAGAAGTCATCCTCTTGTGATTTTCTGCAGTATCCTGTTCTGTGCTGGAGGGAACTGCACAGGGCATGAATCCCAGAGGTGAAGATCACTGGGAACCATCCCGGAGGCTGGCTGGGAAACATGGCAACATATGGAAGGCTGAGCAAAACAGACTGGAGCTGTGACCCCTACCTTCTAGGAACCCTAGAAATTCTAAAGTAAATCACATTGAAACAAACATGGGGCCAGGCGCAGTGGCTCAGGCCTGGAATCACAGCACTTTGGGAGGCCAAGGCGAGAGAATTGCCTGAGCCCAGGAGTTTGAGGCCAGCCTGGGCAACATGGAAAGATCTCATCTCTACAATAAGTTAAAAATATTAGCTGGACTTGGTGGCGCACACCTGTAGTTTCAACTACTTGGGAGACTGAGGCAAAAGGATCATCTGAGCTCAGGAGGTTGAGGTTGCAGTAGCTGTGATGGTGCCACTGCACTCCAGCCTATGCAACAGAGTAAGACTCCAACTAAAAAAAAAAAAAAGAAAAGCAAGAAACAGACATAGATTAATATAACTCAACATCCAATAAATATTTTTATTTTTTTGTAGCGACAAGGTCTCACTATGTTGCCCAGACTGGTCTCAAATTCCTGGACTCAAGCAATTCTCTCACCTGGCCTCCCAAAGTGCTGAGATTACAGATGTGAGCCACCACACTTGGCCAATTCATTCTATTTTAAGTATCTGTTATATGCTGAGTATTATGCTAAATAACAGAGTAAAGACTGAGGTGGGAGAATGACTTGAGCCCATGAGTTAGAGGCTCTGGTGAGCCATGATTATGCCATTGTACTTCAGCCTTGGCAACAGAGCGAGACCCTGACTCAAAAAAAAAAAAAAAAAACACTAAAACTGAACAGATTCTAAAAAATAATAGACTGGACATGGTGGCTCACACCTGTAATCCCAGCACTCTAGGAGGCTAAGGTGGGAGGATTGTTCAAGACCAACCTGGACAACATAGCAAGACCCCAGCTTTACAAAAAATAAAAAAAATTAGCTGGGCATGGTGGCAAGCACTTGTAGTCTCAGCTACTCAGGAGGCTGAGGTGGGAGGACTGCTTGAACCCAGGAGTTCGAGGCCACAGTGAGCTATGATTGTCACTGCACTCCAGCCTGTGACAGAGTCTTACAAAAATAAATAAATACCTAAATAAACTGCTGCTATACAAATAGAAAAAGTATGTGATATGATCAATAGTTTGACAAAGCTGACCATATCTGTCAATAACAATAAATTTATGATCAGGACATGGAAATCTTTGGGAGGCTATTTTTCAGTCTATCATAATAAGTATTGTGTCTAGGAACAGAACAGGTTTTGAGCCTGGGTGACTAGGAAAACAATGTTATTCCATAAAAAAAGAAAAAAAGTCTATAGTTGAAGCTGAACTGGAGGGAAAGGGGCTAATACCATTTTTGATAGTGGGAGACTTTCCAGGAGTTACATGAAAAGGCGTTGGGATCAGCAGGTAGGAAACTTCCTCAAACAGCTGCAAAGGAGTTAGTCTGTGGTGGTAAAAGGAGAAGTGGATGCGTGGACTGGGTGGCTAAACAGGGCAGGGTGTCTCAGGACAGCACATAGAGTTTCCAAGAGGAAAGTGCATGGCTTGGGCTTGCCACAGAAATGATTGAGGATCCAGAAGGTCATAGGATAAAGGAAGAAACATGACTAGCATTGTTGGAGGACTTCCTGTCTTGGGGTTTTGAGAGACTGGAGTTCTGACTGAGTATGGAAAGGAACACACTTTTTTGAGTTTGTTTTGTTGAGAGCTTCTTATTCCACAATTGGATATTCCAACCCAAAATGATCTGGGAAGGCAGTAGAGTGTTGTCACCCATCACACGATGAAAATTGAATGGGACAGGGAGGGGACAGAGTTCCCTTGATGGCCCAGATGACAGAGCACTCAGGTTGTCTCTCAGGATGAGGTGAGAGCTGGACTCTGGATGAAGGGCATGGAATAGCGACTGGAGTAATGACTTGTAGTGATCCTGGGGAACATTCCCTGGAGGCATTTCAGAGTTCTGAGGAGGATGGAAAGCGCGTGGTTGTTTTATCCATAGGCATAGACACCATGTTCCTTGGTTTATGTTGGGGTTTTCGTTTGATACATATTCATAGGATGAAATTTACATGAAAAATATACCTTACTACCCCACGCCTTTTATATAAATATATGTATATATGTACATATATATTTTTTATTAAAATTTCTTTTTCATGTTTCTTTCTTGGTTCATTTCTCCTCTCCCCCAAATTAGGTGGGGTGGAATGGCTGCAAATCAAAGATAATGATTTCTCCTACAGACCCAACACGATCTGTAGCTTTCTACATGAAAATGAAGATGAAGAAGTAGTAACTGCAGCCCCAGATAAATCTTCAGAGTTGGAAGAGGACGAGGTGAAAGACAGTTCCCACCTGAGTTGTGAGCAGGAGAAAGCACTGCACTCAGAAATGGAGGATTCTGGTCTGCTTGACATCCCCTCTGAGACAGAAGGTTCTATTTTTATGGAAATTCAAGATGCAGCCTTAGAAATCATTCCTGAAGGAAATGTTTGTCACGACAGCTAGTCATGGACGTTTTGGTTCTTATATAAAACCAACAGCGGCGTGGCTTTCGGTGGCTCATTCTTGTACTGTTCTTGTTGGCTATACACACCTGTCATAGTACAACTTATTCTACCAGAATCATTCGGGACCAGACATGAGTTGAATTTTTTTTTTTTTTTGTGAGTTGGAGTCTCACTCTGTCGCCTAGACTGGAGTGCAGTGGCATGTTCATGACCAGCCAAGTGTCGATCTGCTAGGCTCCAGCGATCCTTCCAGCAGTCCTTCCACCTCAGCCTTCCAAGTAGCCAGAACTACAGGTGTGTTCAACCATGCCCATCTAATTTTTTTATTTTTTATTTTTTAGTGTAGAGATAAGGTCTCACCAAGTTGCCTAGGCTGGTTTCGAACCCGCAGATTCAGGCAATCCACTCGCCTCAGCCTCCCAAAGTGCTGAGATTACAAGCTGAACCACCGAGTCCAACCTGAATTTTCAAAAATATAATTCAAATAACTTTAGGGACTCTTATCTGGTGAGTCCTTTAAATATGAGGTTTTTTTGGTTTGTTTTTAACAGCAGGATTTATTGAGGGACAGTAAAGCTCCCATGGTGGGAGGAGACCCCAGGGGGCTGCCTGGTTTTTTTGTTTTTGTTTTTGAGTTGGGAGTCTCACTCTGTTGCCCAGGCTGGAGTGCAGTGGCACACTCACGGCCGGTTTTAGGATTGTCTGTCCACTGAGGGCCACGTTCAGCTTCTGAGGCTGCTGCATCACTGGCTCACGTTCCCCTTATCTTTAGAGCCATAGTGGTGGGCGAGGTCCTCTCCCATGTTGAACCTTCCTGTTCTTTCTTCTGCCGTCCCCTTTCTCTGATCTACTCTATGTCTTCCATTCCACTGTGAAAGGTCCATTTGATTACATTGGGCCCTCTCAGATCTCTTGATTTTAAGTTCTGTAACCTTAACTCAATCTGTAAAAGTATATTTTGCCATGTGACTTAACATACACGTTTGAAACTAGGGCATGGAAATCTTTGGGGGGATATTTTTTCACAATATATATTTTATCTAGGAACAGAAAATAATTTAGAAGTGCTTGAGAATAAAGCCATCATTCTGAATATTCTAGTATAATTTCACTCCTTTCCCATTTAGGGGTTATTGGAATTCAACAGGAGTGGCCATTTTATTATGGCAGGAACATAAATCTGTGCTAATTTGTATCTTTTTAAGTAAATTATTTACAAACTTTGATACTTTGTTATAGATTGAGCTACATGAGATTTTCACTATTTGTTTCTGACTACAAAACCAGCAATTGCATACAATTTAGCCTAGTACTAGTAAGTGAAAGCATACATCACACTAATGACATCTCACAACTGATAGAGAGCTATGACTGTTTTAAAAGGTTGGAGAGCTAATGTTCTAGGATGAGGAATTTTCTTCTGTAAAAAGTTTTCTTCTTTTTACGATTTAATTGGAAAACAACTTACCTTGACAAAAGCATTTCAAATCATATCTTCCCACTTTTGTATGACTTTTTTAGTCTTGGCTTTTATTTACTTATTTTTTTTTGAGATGGAATCTCACTCTGTTGCCTAGGCTGGAGTGCAGTGGCACGTTCAAGGCCACTGCAGCCTCAACCTCCGGCGATCCTTCCACCTCAGCCTTCCAAGTAGCTGGAACTACAGGCGTGTGCCACCACGCCTGGTTAATTTAGAACATTTTTTTTTGTAGAAGCAAGGTCTTGCCGAGTTGCCTAGGTTGGTCTTGAACCTCCAGGTTCAGGAAGTCCTCTTGCCTCAGCCTCCCAAAGTGCTAGGATTACAGAAGTGAGCCACCACGCCTGGCCTAGGCTCAGCTTTTAATAAGAAGCTTAATTTTCCTACCATGTGTATATATAGGAGAGACTGCTAATTGCCAGCCTCAGTTATCTGTTTCCCTACTTTTTTTTTTTTTTTTTGAGTAGGAGTTCCACTCTGTTGCCCAGTCTGGAGTATAGTGGCACGCTTATAGCCACCGCAGCCTTGACCTGCTGGACTCAGGTGATACTTCCGTCTCATCCTTTCAAGTATTCCTTTACTTCTTTGTAACAAATTCCAGAATATATTTAGGTTAGCCATCTGCCTGCTTTTCTTTGCAGATGCATGTGGCCCTTTGACTGCCCTGGCCTTTGGCATGGAGTCAGAAGTGTTGAGGAGCGCTTCTGGGAAGCTTCCTTATATGTAAAGGTGTAAGAGGAGGCAGGTCGGTTCATTCTCTCTTTCTTCCTGCTGGAACATGAAGGTGGTGGCCAGAGCTCCAGCAGGGTCCTGGGGCTTTAAAGCAGCCTTGGAAATAGAAGCCATGAGTAGCAGAGCAGCACTGTGGAAGACCGCCCTGATGCTGCAAGACTTCCCTGATTGCTCTCAGTAAAAGGGTAAACCCTTTCTCTTTCTCCCTGGCAAAATGACCTTGAGTTTGCCTGTCAGCACCACTTCTTTGGAAACCTACCAAGTAAGATAATAATGGAATGTCAGCTACAGTACTAGGCAATATTGTTTATGGTTAAAAATGACCCCTTGACTGAGTGCAGTGGCTCATTCCTGTAATCCTAGCACTTTGGGAGGCTGAAGCAGGAGGATTGTTTGAGCCCAGGCGTTTGAGACTACCCTAAGCAACATAGTGAGACTTCTTCTCTACAAAAATAAAAAAATTAGCCAGGCATGGTGGTGTGTGCCTGTAGTCTCAGCTACTCCAGTGGCTGAGACAGAAGAGTGAGATCCTCACTCCAAAAAAAAAAAGACTTCTTATTGGTAAATTATCTGGACCAAGAGGACTATACAAGTACTATATAAATGCTCACTGGAAAACATAGGCTTTGGGATTCCTGAAGTGTGGTGTTCTTTTTTTTTTTTTTTAATTTGGAGTCTCACTCTTCTCGCCCAGGCTGGAGTGCAGTGGCACACTCACAGTCACCGTAACCTCGACCTGCTGGGCTCAGGCGATCATTCTGCCTCAGCCTTCCAAGTAACTGGAACCACAGATGCACGCCACCAAGCCTGGCTAGTTTTTGTGATTTACAAGGTCTCACCAAGTTGCCCAGGCTGGTCTCGAACCCTTGGACTCAGGCAATCCTCTCGCCTCAGCCTCCCAAAGTGTTGGGATTACAGGCTGAGCCACCACGCCCAGCCAAGTGTGGTGTTCTTATTGCTAAGATTCCTAGCAGCTACACTCACAGGCTGCTTCAAGAGAACTCATTCTGTGGAACATGAAGCTTCTGAGCCTGGTGATGCCTGCACCCACCCAGATGGTCATGTTTCCTTATGTGTGATCTGGAATTGGAGACTGGAGTAGAGACTCCTGCTGAAATAGCCTCATGTGCGTTGCTAGTGTGCTTTTCTTGTTCTGTGTCCTGCAAAGCTAAGTGAGCCGGGTGCCAGGTGGGTTCTGTAGGATGTCCTAGGCTCTGCACGTGTGAATGTCATTCCAGACTTATGACTCCAGCGGCTGCTCAGGCAGAGAGGGTGTTGCCACTGCTGCCTCCGGTCTCCTTTGACATCAGAGAGAAACAGACTTCTCTCTTGTTTAAGATACTTCGTGGCCAGGCTCGGTGGCTCAACCTGTAATCCTGTGCTTTGAGAGGCCTAGGTGAATGAATTGCCTGAGCCCGCGGGTTCGAGACCCACCTGGGCGACTTGGTGAGACCTCATCTCTACAATAAATTAAAAATTAGCCGGGCATGGTAGCGCGCGCCTGTAGTTCCAGCTAAGGAAGGCTGAGGCGGAAGGACTGCTGGAGCCCAGCAGGTCGAGGCTGCGGTGGCTGGGAGCGTGCCACTGCACTCCAGTCTGGACAACAGAGTGAGACTCCGACTCAAATAAAAAAAAGAAAAAAAAAGATACTTCGTAATGAGCTTAATCCTCACCGACACATAAGTATTTTAGAAAACATGAAAAGTATAAAATAGTAAAAAGAAGTGGAAGACTCTTGAAGTTTGTACTCTTGCAAAAGAAACTGATCTGGACAATGATGGAGCTCGACCCTAAATGAAAGAGGAAGATAAAGTCTTAAATTTGGAAAAGAACATGATGAGTGTGAGCTCCATGCCTATTAACAAGAACAAATGTTGCCAGGCGTGGTGGCTCATGCCTGTAATCCCAGCATTTTGGAAGGTAGAGGTGAGAGGATTGCCTGAGTCCAGAGGTTCAAGACCAGCCTGGACAACTTGGCGAGACCTCATCTACAATAAATTAAAAAATTAACTGGGTGTGGTGACGCATGCCTGTATTTCCAGTTACTTGGAAGGCTGAAGCAGTAGATTGAGGGTGCTGTGGCTGTGATCATGCCACTGTGCTCCACCTGGGCGACAGAGTAAGACTGACTCAAAAAAAAAAAAAAAAAGAATAGTTGAGAATTTAGTAAAATAAAGTCTTATTTTTTAAGCTAATATTTTGTAAGACTAGAATTTCATATGTGAATTTCTCTGCCATTAATCAGCTGCCTTACTAACTTACTGGGTTACCTAAAAGCTAATATTAGGACCACAGTCACTATGTAGCTGTCACTACTACTTTAGAATGCAGTGGGTTGCTTTTATTTACAAATAATTGTTTTTTACTTAAAAAGGATTGTATTGTTAAAATGCATTGTAGCCATGAATAAGGCGGGATTGTGAACTTCAAAAATGGAACTACACATGGGGTCACAAAGAAGATAAATGCTAAAAAACATGTGATGTTAAAAGATTCTATAGACAAGCACAGTGACTCACGCCTGTAATCCCAGCATTTAGGGAGGCAGAGGCAAGAGGATTGTCTGATTGCCCAGGGGTTCGACACCTGCCTGGGCTACTTAGTGAGACTCTGTGTCTACAATAAATCAAAAAATTAACTGGGTGTGGTGGCGCATGCTTGTAGTTCCAGCTACTTGGAAGGCTGAGGCAGAAGGATCACCACACGACAGCATCAACCTTTGGTGGCCGTGAACGTGCCACAGCACTCTTACTAAAAACAGTAAGACTGACAAAAAAAAAAGCATATGACTCACCTTTTCCCTAGAGAACTGAAAATGCATGTCCAAACAAAACTTTGTACACGATTTTCAAAGCAGCACAAACCTATAATAGTAAAAACAAAACAAAACAAAAACAGCCCAAATATACATAAATGGATGAACGGATAAAGAAAATGTGGGGCTGGGCATGGTGGCTTGTGCCTGTAATCTTGGCTTGAAACTAGCCTGGGGCAACATAGCGAGACCTTGTCTCTATTAACAAAAAAAAAAAAAATGTGGTAAGTCGGGCTCACATCTGTTACCCCAGCACTCACTCACACTCTGGGAGTTTGAGGGGGGAGGATCACTTGAGTTCTGGAGTTCAAGAACATCCTGGGCAACATAGCAGGACCTCATCCCTAAAGAAAATGTGGTATGTCCTTAGAATGGGATATTATTCAGCCCTAAAAAATGAAAGTACTGATCTGTGATACAATATGTATGAACCTCAAAAACACAGTAAGTGAAAGAAGTCAGACACAAAAGGCCACACATCGTATGAATTCACGCATGTTCATGATAGGCAAATTCCTGGAACATAAAACATCTTATTATTTAAAAATATAAATAGAGGTGAACTTTGCTATGGGTTCAAGCGATCCTCCCGTCTTGGCCTCCCCAAGTGCTGGGATTACTGGCATGACTCACCGCGTCCGGCCTGAACTAGATAATTACAGGGGCACATTTTATGGTATGTGAATTATACAGCAATTTTATTGAGGGAGTCGCGGCCAGCAATATTGTTTTCTGCACATCTTTTATATATTGCTGGCCTTTCACACCGATATTTTTAGTGACTACGCGAGTACCTAAGGTGCGAAGACCTAGGCCCCAGAGCACCCTACTCCAAGTTGACAGCCAGCGGCGAGCGCCTACGTTTCTCAAGGCGTGGCCTCGCACCTGCACTTCCGGGAAAGAGCCGACGCCAATTTCGTAACCAAGGCAACTGGACGCGGCTCTACCCAAGATGGCCGCCAGCGCTCCGGGCGCGCGCAGGGCCGTCCCTGGAAGTGGTGTCGCGCGTACTTCCGGTTCCGCTTGTTCCGGTTCCGTCTGTTTCCGTGCACGAGCCTGCATCCCCTAAGAGCTGACTGGGCGTGCTTGCTCCCGGGTTAGGTTGCTGATTGCGGTGGCGATGGACGCTTTGGATCGAGTTGTGTAAGTACGCGGGGTCTAGAAATGATGCCGCCTCGGAATCTCCCTGCTTGGTTTACCTCTTCCTCCTTACACCTGCGTATCCTCCGGCCCGGCTCCTCCTGGGCTTGGGCTGCCTGCCGGAGGCGGAGGGCGGGAGCTGGCGAATGGGCGCTGCGGGCGGAGGGGCCCGCGGTCGTCCTAGCCTGTTGGAAAGCTCCCGGCGAAGGCGGGCCTCGGAGTCTGACGGGTTCAGGGACAGCAGGCTCGACCACTGAAAGCGTCGTGATTCTGGGTCTTCCAGCCTCCCTGACTCTCAGGTGACCTTCATGTCAGCCTCCCTGCCTTTCAGGTGACCCTCATCTCAGTCTCCCCGCATGTCAGTTGACCCTCATCTTAGCTTTCCTGCCTCTCAGGTGACCCTCGTCTCAGCCTCCCAGTCTCTCAGCTATCGTCACGCTTTTTTAGAGCTGAAAGGGTCCATTTTGAAGATATGAGTAAAGCTTTTGCTGCAGCGTGTAGAGATGTTCATTGACTTTCTCTTTTCTTTTCAACTTCGTATACATCTCTGAATTATCCCTAAGTGATGTCTGTCTTAAATTTAATTCAAAAGTATTTCTTTTCTTTTTGAGTCAGCGCCTCACTCTGTTGCCCAGGCTGGACTGCAGTGACACTCTCACAGCCACCGCAGCCTCGACCTGCTAGGCTCAGGTGATCCTTCTGCCTTAACCTTCCAAGTAGCTGGAACTACAGGCGCATGCCACCATGCCCAGATAATTTTTTGATTTATTGCAGAGACAAGGTCTCGCCATGTTGCTCAGGCTGATCACGAACCCCTGAGGTCAGACAATCCTTTTGCCTCCGCCTCCCAAAGTGCTGGGTTTACAGGGATGAGCCACCGTGCCCGGCCTCAAAAGTATTATTATTATTATTATTTTTTGAGTTAGAGTCTCACTCTGTCGCCCAGGCTGGAGTGCAGTGGCATGCTCACAGCCACCCCAGCGTTGACCTGCTGGGCTCTGGTGATCCTTCCACCTCAGCCTTCCAAGTAGCTCTGACTACAGGCATACACTACCATGCCCGGCTAATTTTTTCATTTTTTGTAGAGACGAGGTCTCACCATGTTGCCCATGCTGGTCTCAAACCCGTGGGCTCAGGCAATCCTCTTACCTTGGTCTCCCAAAGTGCTGGAATTATAGGCTTGAATCACTGCCCCGGCCTCTCAGAAGTATTTATTGAGCTAAAATAGTTCTGCCATTATTTGCTGTGATTTTCTTGCTATTTATTTAGGTTAGTGTGTATACAAAATGAGAGATTTTTTTTCCCATTAATTTAGAGATTTTTGTGTACCTGAAAATAGGTATTAGGACAACGAAGAAGAATAAGGCAAGTTTACTGTCTAACTGAGGACCAAGCAGCTAGTAAAACACTGAGGTTGCTATTTGCACTTATTGTTGGTTAATGAAAATTAATGAAGCCCATGAACTGTAGAGCACATAGTTATGGCCATGTACACACAATACATATCTCTTGACTTGATTTAATAATGTATATCTTTGTCAACCAATAAATGATTAGAAGCTTTGTATATGACAAAGCTGGAGGAGTAATTAAAAAATCTGCATGAGTTCCAGCTATTTGGAAGACTGAGGCAGAAGGATCACTGGAGCCCAGCAGGTTGATGCTGGGGTGGCCGTCAGCATGCCACTGCACTCCAGCCTGGGTGACGGAGTGAGACTCCAACTCAAAAAAAAAACAAAAACAAAACAAGAGAAACTAAAGTGTGTGTATATTCTGTTTTTCTTTTCCTTCCTGAAGTGTCCACAGGGCCAGAAAGCAGGAGGGTCATAATTATCTAAGAGGAGAGGAATTCTTTCAGTAGATGGCAGAGAACTGTTCAAAAGCAAGATGTTCATTTTAGAGAAAGCAGAGGTGAAGCCCTTTTTCTGAACAGAAATGTGTAATAACATGGCTATTCCTGTCACATCATACAGTCGGAAGAGTGAACTTGTTTTCCCTTCATATTTTACAGGGCGCTTGGTCTAGATGAGTTTTTGTTTGTTTGTTTGTTTGTTTTTGTTTTGAGTTAGAGTCTCACTGTGTCACCCAAGCTGGAGGACGATGCACACTCATTGCAGCCTTGGCCTGCTGGGCTCAGGCAATCCTTCCATTTCAGCCTTCCAAGTAGCTGGAACTACAGGCATGTGCCATCATGCCTGGCTGATTCTTTGAATTATTGTAGAGATGAGATCTCACCAAGTTGTTCAGGCTGGTCTTGAGCCCATGGGCTCAGGCAGTCCTCTCACCTTGGCCTCCCAAAGAGATGGGATTATAGACGTGAACCACTGTGCCCAGCCTTTCTAGATGAATTTTTAAGTCTAGATCATTTTAAAGTTTGGCCTCCTCACTAGCCATGTGACCTTTGTCCCCAGTTTCCCCATCTGTAGAGAGATGATAATAGTTGTACCTGTCTCATAGGGTTGTAGTGATGACTAAGCCTTAATAGAGTGACTCTATAAAAGCAGAAATTGAGTCCCCTCCCATTGTGGAAGCTTTTCTGTCCTCTCAATAAATCCTCTTTCTCAAAAAAAAAAAAAAGCAGAAACCATTATTATTCCCCTTGGTGGCAATCGTGTTGACTTTCTCAGCAGTGGTGTTGGAGTGAGACCAAATATGCTTGCTCGCAGGCCTTGTGGGCCTGAACCTAAAAGAAAGATAAGCAGTAATTAGTCTCCCTGTGTCTAACAAATGTCCACAGGTTGATCAGCAGCTACGTAAATCTTTGTATTAGGGCACAGGGTACAGGTTGACTACTTTAAATTTGAAGAAAATGTTATGGAGTAAAAATTGCAGCAGTGTTTACATGAGTTCCTTATGTTTTAATTTTAAAAATTTGGGGGAAACAAAGAATGCTAGAAGTATCAAAATGAAATATTTATTTATTTATTTGTTGGAGTCTCACTCTGTCGCCCAGACTGGAGTGCAATGGCTGCTCCCGGCCACCTCAGCCTTAACTTGCTGGCCTCCAGTGATCCTTCCGCCTCAGCCTTCCAAGTAGCCAGAACTACACGTGTGCACTACCACACCCAGCTAAGTTTTGATTTATTGTAGAGATGAGGTCTCACCAAGTTGCCCAAGTGGGTCTCGAACCGGCGGGCTACGGCATTCCACTTGCCTTGACCTCCCAAAGTGCTGGGATTACAGGTTGAGCCACCGAACCTGGCCAAATCTTCTTTTAAAAACTGAAAACTGGTTGGGCGTGGTGGCTCAAGCCTGTAATTCCAGCACTTTGGGAGGCCAAAGTGAGGGGATTGCCCGACCCACATGTTCAAGAACAGCCTGCACAACTTGGCAAGATCTCATCTCTATGATAAATCAAAAAATTAGCCTGGCATGGTAGTGTGCGCCTGTTATTCTGGCTACTTGGAAGACTGAGGTGGAAGGATCGCTGGAGCCCAGCGAGTTGACGCTGTGATGGCCGGGAGCATATCACTGCACTCCAGTCTGGGTGACAGAGTGAGACTCCAAAAAAACAAAAAAAACTGAAAGCTAATCAAACACCTCTTTTAACAGGAATAATGAAAGTGTCTTTACTAATATCTCCCTAAAAAGAGATTTTGTTTGATGGTGGAGTCTTAACTAACAAATATGTTCATGTAGTGTCTCTGCTGGTTTTTAAAGAATTTGCATATTAGTCAAGTCATGATTTTGTAATATAAGGAAGAAGTTTAAATTGCTACAAATTGTGCTTTTCTGAATAGAAAGCCCAAAACAAAAAGAGCCAAGCGATTCCTTGAGAAGAGAGAACCGAAGCTCAGTGAAAACACTAAAAATGCCATGCTGATTAAAGGGGGAAATGCAAATGCAACGGTGACAGAAGTACTCAAGGACATGGTATGTATGTGTGCTTATTCTTGGAGTCATTTGAGAGTTCTCCAGCATGCTGGGGTGGGCTGCTGGGAAATGGAAATCCTCCTCGCCGGAAGAGCTATGAGCATTGGAGAAGTGCCCAAGTTGGGGCTGTTTACCTGCCATGGCGCTGGCTACTGGTTTTCCTTGAAGCAACAAGGTCCTTTAGTAATTTTTTTTTTTTTTTTAGTTGGAGTCTCACTCTGTCGCCCAGACTGGAGTGCAGTGGCCGTGGCCCAGACTGGAGTGCAGTGGCACACTCACGGCCACCGTAGCCTCAACTTGCTGGGCTCCGGCGATCCTTCCGCCTCAGCCTTCCAAGTAGCGGGAACTACAGGCGCACGCTACCATGCCTGGCTAATTTTTGATTTATTGTAGAGACGAGGTCTCGCCAAGTTGCCCAGGTGGGTCTCGAACCCGTGGGCTCAGGCAATCCACTCGCCTCGACCTCCCAAAGTGCTAGGATTATAGGCTGAACCACTGAGCCCGGCTTCCTTTAGTAAATTTAAACTGTATCAATAACTCGAGTTTGGTTTACTCACTTTTCAGGAAAAGATCTAACTTGTAAAGTGAAATCTATATGTACTGTGAATTACTGCATGCTACTGTATGTATGGTTTGTTCATTCAGCAACACCAGTTACTGTGTTAAGCGCTAGGGATTATTAGATAAGACACAGTTCCTCCCTTCTGTGAGCTTAGCAAGATGGACGTTGACAAAATGACAGTGTTGTGCCATGCTGATGGATGGCAAGGGTACAATAGAAAACAGTTAAAAATCACATAAGAGGCCAGGCATGGTGGCTCATGCCTGTCATCCCAGTGCTTTGGGAGGCCAAGACGAGAGGATTGCTTGAACCAGGAGTTCCAGACCAGTCTGGGCAACATAGCAAGACCTCATCTCTACAAAATCAGAATATTAGCTGGGCACCTATGCTCTCAGCTACTCAGGAGGCTGAGGTAGAGGAATCACCTGAGCCCAGAAAGTTGAGGTTGCTGCGAGTTGTGCTTGTTACACTGCCCTCTAGCCTGGGTGACAGAGTGAGACTCTGACTCCAGAAAAAAAGAAAAATCACATAAGAGGATCTGCACAGATCCCTGGGCTCCCTGAGAGGTAACACTTCAGCTTCATTTTGGAGAAGGAGGTTGGAGCAGGAAGGGGGAGAGGAAGGGAAGAGCTTCTAAGGCTGAGAAAGAAGCTTCTGCACAAGAGAATATGAAGGAGCATCTGGAGGACTGCAAGCCATTGGGAATGGGGGTCTCGGTGAGGCTGGAGGAAGAGGCGTGGGTCGTGTGGTCATGTGGAGCTTAGGGTTTTGTTCTGAAAGTGTTCTGTGTCGTGGGAAGATACTCAGCAACATGATCAGTCTTTGATAGGGTTAATTAGAGAGAGTAGAGCAAAGATAGGAAATGAGGTCAGCCATTGCCACCATCGAGTTAAAGGGCATCGAGAGTCTGGTGGTGGCAGTGAAAATGAGAGCTGATTGGAAAGAGCCAAGGTTGAGGGCGGAAGAGTTGGGGAACTGGTGAGAAGTCCAACTTCCCAAGTTCCAGCCCGAGTGCCTCCTGGGCAGCGATGCCCAATAGAAAATGGGTCAGGTGGAGCAGGTTTGGAGAGAAAGGAGGTATGTTCCGACTGGGACATGTAATTTAAGTAATAAGGGTAAATGCTCTTGTGTTTTTTCCCTTCCTCTATAGCCTGGTGTCCAGCCCAGTGTCTGGACATAGTAGGTGCTCAGTAAATGTTTAACCCTTTGTATTTGGAGGATGTACCCTCTGAGGAGTCATTGTGAATCTAGCAAACTACTCGGATGTCCCCTCTTGGGAAACAAAGAGACTGCTGGTGATTATACAGAACAAACTTATGCCAGCACAAATTTTTCAAAAATGTGAGTTTTCTTGAAGTTTTCCATTCAAATTGCATGAAAAAGCAGATAGAGACATAGAATATATCTGGAGATATACGTAAAAAAAAATTAGCTGGCATTACATAGAAAGAGATTGTGTGAAGTGCTTTCACAGTGGTGTCAACACTTCTTCGTAACAGAAGGTAATAATAAAGAGCGTTCGTATGAGATGGCAGTGGGTAAACCCTTTTTATATATGGTATAACTTGAAAAGACAGATAGCGAGTTCCTATAGACTTGAAAGAATGAGACTTTTGAAGTTGAAGGCAGATCGTTACCACATGTTAGAAAAATATTGCCGGACTCGGTGTCTCAGCCTGTAATCCCACGCTTTGGGAGGCCGAGGTGAGTGGATTGCCTGAGCCTGCGGGTTTGAGACCCGCCTGGGCAACTTGGCGAGACCTCATCTCTACAATAAATCAAAAAATTAGCTAGGCATGGTAGTGCGCGCCTATAGTTCCAGCTACTTGGAAGGCTGAGGTGGAAGGATCACCGGAGCCCAGCAGGTCAAGGCTGTGGTGGCCTGGAGCGGCCCCTGCACTCCAGTCTGGGTGACAGAGTGAGACTCCAACTCAAAAAAAAAAAAGAAAAATATATAAAATTTGGATTTTTCTTGTCACAAATAAGTTTCTCAATGTCCAAAATTCCATTATAAGCCAGATATCATTACAATAAAATAATTGGTTCCAACATTATACTACTTAATATGCAGTGATTCGTTTTTCACAGTACAGTCGAGTTGCTGGTAGGTGATATACGAGATGTCTCCGAGTGCAAAGGGTTAAACTTATGTTACAAGTTATTGAAAGTGATCACAAGGGAACAAAGCAGAAGACATGAGAACAGGTTGAAGGCCCAGAGTAATTCTGTAGAATGACTGCTACAGTGCTTTATTTTTGTCTTTGCTTTTCAGAATGTTTTGTTTTGAAAGCTATAAATTCTCTTTTACAGTATGCACTGAAAAAACCACATGGCGTTCTGTATAAAAAGTAAGTTGTGATATCTGTTACTTTATTTTAAATTATTTTGTTCCATTTTGTACATGACTATTGATCTTATGATTTGTTTCTTTCTGGTCTGTTTTTCATTTGTGTTGAATGTTCTTGCATAGTTGTAACAACAGAATATACATTTTATTTTGAAATAATTATAGATGTACAGAAAAGCTACAAAAGTAATAGTATTCCCAGCTTTCCCTGATGTTACTTCTTGTATAACTATAGAGCACTTATCAAAACTAAGAAATCAACACTGCTATGAGAATGAACTACATTACAGACCTATTTGGTTGGCACTAGTTTTTCTTTTTTTTTTCTTATTTTTGAGTTGAGGTCTCACTCTGATGTATGCACTGGAGTGCAGTGGCATGATCATGGCTCACTGTAGCCTTGACCTCCTAGGCTCAGGTTATCCTTCCACCTCAGTCTCCCAAGTAGCCAGGACTCCAGGCATATACCACCACGCCTGGCTAATTTTTTTGCTTTTTTTTTAGAGACAAGATTTTACTATGTGACCGAGGCACTCCTGGGCTCAAACTCCTGGGCTCAAGCAGTCCTCCTGCCTCGGCCTCCCAAAGTGCTAGGATTACAGGTATGAGCCACTGCGCCTAGCCGGCACAAGTTTTTCTACCGGTATCCTTTTTCTCTTCCAGGATCATGTGTTACCTTTAGTTTTTGTGTCTCCTTAGTCTTCTCCAGTTTGTAGACAGTTCCTTGGTCTGTCTTCCTTTGTCTTTGATGACCTTGAAACTTTTTTTTTTTTTTTTGAGTTGGAGTCTTACTCTCCCCCATGATGGAGTGTAGTGGCACAATCAAGGCTCACTGCAGCCTTGATCTCCTGAGCTCAGGTGATCCTTGCTAAGCTTTCTGAGTAGCTGAGACTACAGGAGTGCGCCACCATGTCAGGCTATTTTTTTTTTAGTTGGAGTCTCACTTCGTCGCCCAGGCTGGAGTGCAGTGGTGCACTCATGGCCATCCCAGCATCAGCTTTCTGGGCTCCAGCGATCCTTCTGCCTCAGCTTTCCAGGTAGCTAGAAATGCAGGCACGCACTACCACACCCAGCTAATTTTTGACTTATTGTAGAGATGAGGTCTCGTCCAGTTTCCTGAGCTGGTCTCGAACCCATGGGCTCAGGTACTCCACTTGCCTCGGCCCCCGAAATTCTGGGATTACAGGCTAAGCCATCGAACCTGGCCTAATTTTTTTTTTTTTGAGTTGGAGTCTCACTCTGTCACCCAGACTGGAGTGCAGTGGCATGCTCATGGCCACCACAGCCTCGACCTTGTTGGGCTCTGGCGATTCTTCCGCCTCAGCCTTCCAAGTAGCTGGAACTACAGATGTGTGCCACCATGCCTTGCTAATTGTTTGATTTATTGTAGAGATGAGGTCTTACCAAGTTGCCCATGGGCTCAGGCAGTCCTCTTACCTCAGCTTTGCAAAGTGCTGGTATTATAGGCATGAGCCACTGCGCCTGGCCTCAGGCTAATTTTTTAATATTTTGTAGAGATGAGGTCTTGCTATGTTGCCCAGGCTAGTCTCGAACTCCTGGGCTTAAGTGATCCTCCCGCCTTAACTTCCCAAAGTGCTAGAATTACAGGCGTGAGCCTTTTTTTATTATTATTATTATCTTTTTTTTTTTTTTAAGTGGGAGTCTCACTCTGTTGCCCAGGCTGGAGTGCAGTGGCACTCTCACGCCCACTGCAGCCTCGACCTGCTGGGCTCAGGTGATCCTTCCACCTCAGCCTTCCCAGTAGATGGAACCACAGGTGTACGCCACCACACCTGGCTAATTTTTTTTTTTTTTGAGTTATTGTCTTCAAGCTGGACTTGAACCCCTGCGCTCAGTCTTCTCACCTCTGCCTCCCAAAGTGCTGAGATTACAGGCATGGTCCACTGCACCTGACTGTTGTTTTTGTTATTATCATTATTTTGAGTCAGGGTCTCAGTCTGCTGCCCAAGCTGGAGTGCGGTGGCACAATCACGGTTTACCACAGTCTAAAACTCCTGGGCTCAAGCAAACTTTCCACTTCAACCTCCCAGTGTGCCAGGGTTACATGTGTGGCACACTGTACCTGGCACCCCCATGCCTGGCTAATTTTTAAAATTTTTTTTTGTAGAGACAAGATTATGCTATGCTGCCTAGGCCAATCTTGAACTCCTAGGCTTAAATAGTTCTCCCATCTTAGCCTCTCAAAGTGCTATGATTATAGGTGTGAGCCATCGTGCCCTGCCCCTTGAAACTTTTGATGAGTACTTGTCAATTATTCGTAAATGATCCCTCTGTTTGGGTTTGTTTTTCATGAATATATTGAGGTTATGCATGTTTGTTAAGAACCCCACAGCCGGGCTTGGTGGCTCAGTCTGTAATCCCGCGCCTTTGGGAGGCTGAGGTGAGTGGATTGCCTGAGCCCGCGGGTTCGAGACCCATCTGGGCAGGTGAGACCTCATCTCTACAATAAATCAAAAAAGTTAGCCGGGCATAGTAGCGTGCGCCTGTAGTTCCAGCTACTTGGAAGGCTGAGGCGAAAGGATCACCAGAGCCCAGCAGGTCGAGGCTGCGGTGGCCGGGAGCTGCCACTGCATTCCAGTTTGGGCGACAGTGAGACTCCAACTCAAAACAAACAAACAAACAAACAAAAACAAAAACAAAAGAACTCCACAAAAATGATATGCTTTTTTCAGTAAATATCCGTGGAGCATAGGTTCCTGGAAACCCCTCAGATATCAAAATCCAAGGATGCACAAGGCCCTTATATTAGTTGGTGTATTAAGTTCTGTAATTTAAACCAATAAAAAATAAATAAAATGGTGTAAATAAAATAAAATGCATACAACCTCCTCATATCCTTTTTAAAATACATAAATAGAAACAGGGTCTTGCTATATTGCCCAGGCTATTCTTGAACTTCGCCTCAAGCAATCCTCCTGCCTCAGCCTCCTGAAGTGCTGGGATTACAGGTGTTAGCTACCATGCCCAGCTTCTATCTACCTTTATACTTTCTTTTTAAAAGACTGCTCCCCAGAAAAGTCCTGTATGCTTTGAATCATCTCTGAATAATTTATAATACCTAATATAGCATACTTGCTATGTAGATTGTTATACTGTATTTTTTTGTATTTTTATTTTTCAAATACTTTCGATCTGCAATTGGTTGAATACATCGATGTGGAACCCGTGGGTGCCCAGGGCTAACTATTTTTCCACTTGATCATAAGCTCCACGAAAGCAAGCATATGGTTTGATGTAGTGTTAGAGTATCCCTAGCTCCTCAGGGCTGGCGCAGTGGCTCATGCCTATAATTACAGCACCTTGGGAGGCTGAGGCAGGAGGATCACTTGAACCGAGTTTGAGTATGCAGTGAGCTATGATCACACCACTGCATTCCACCCTGGGCTGTAGAGTGAGACCCTAGCTCCAAAAAAAAAAAAAAATAAACAGTTAAGCCAAAAAAATATTGTATATGTCTACATAGTATCCCTATCTCCTAGAATGGTGCTTGGCATACACTTGGCCCTGAATAAATACCTGAATGAATGAATACCCTTCTGGATTTTTTTTTTAGTCTGACTATAAATATATTTTCATTATTAATTGTATTTATACAGCTTATTAAAATTGTTCTTGCCTTTTTACAAATATTCTTAGGAAAAATATTACTAGACCATTTGAGGATCAGACATCACTGGTAAGTTCAAGACTTTCTGATTTAAGAGAGCATACAAGTGATTATTCAGACTAATTCATGTTGTACTTCTAATTTGTAATTATTTTGATGAGAAATCATCCTATATGAGGGAATTTCAATGAAAAAATGGAGAGGAAATAAGACCTTTATGCTTTCAAAAATGTACTTATAGGTCCTACATTTCACTATGGCTAGCAAATATATTATTCATTGCTTGCAAATATATTGATAGAATTTTTAGAAGTTGAATTACATTTAAAGTGCATAATTAGTGAATTTTCAAAAGGAAGCTTGTTATAGTTTTTGTTTGCTTGTTTTTGAGAGACAGGATGTTGCTCTGTCACCCAGGCTGGTGTGCAGTGGCATGATCATGACTTAACTGCAACCTTGAATTCCTGGTTAAAAGTAATCCTTGTGCCTCAGCCTCCCAGGTAGCTAAGACTGCAGGCATGTGCCACCCACCGTGCCTGGCTAGTTTTTAAAAAAATTTTTGTAGAGACGAGGTCTCGCTGTGTTGCCTAGGCTGATCTTGAACTCATGGCCTCAGGGAATCCTCCCACCTAGACCTCCCAAAGTGTTTAGATTACAGGCTTAAGCCACTGTGCCAACCATACAGATTTTTTATTTTTATTTTTTTATTTTTGAGTTGGAGTCTCACACTGTCGCCCAGGCTGGAGTACAATGGCACACTCACAGCTACCCCAGCGTTGACCTTCTGGGCTCCAGCAATCCTTCTTGCCTCAGCCTTCCAAGTAGCCGGAACTATAAGCACGCACTATTACGCCTGACTAATTTTTGCTTTATTGTAGAGACGAGGTTTTACCAAGTTGCCCAGGCTGGTCTCGAACCCGCAGGTTCAGGCAATCCACTCGCCTCGGGCTCCCAAAGTGCTGGGATTACAGGCTGAGCCACCGAGCCTGGCCTAGATGTATTTTTATACAAGCAAGCCTGAGTTTTAAAAATCTGACTTATATCAATGCTGTATGTGGAAACCAAAATAATAATAATAATTTTAAAAATATGACCTCTTCCTTTGGATATTTTTACCGTTTTTTGGTTTTTTTTTTTAAAGATGGGGTTTTGCTGTGTTGCTCAGACTGATCTTATGCTCCTGGGCTCAAGCAGTCCTCCAGCCTCAGCCTCCCAAGTAGCTGGGATTACAGGTGTGAGCCACCATGCCTGGCTTGGGTATTTTTAGAACAAGGAACACTACTTGAATCGTTGCTAACAGTTGTCAGTTTTGTCAGAGTTAGTCATATTCTTGTTTGAGTGTATTGTCAACCAAAGCTCAATAAAAAAAAGGACTAGTAAAATTAGAAGAAAATGGTTTATAGTAAATGGTGAATGATAAATGGACTTTGAGTGTGTGATGATGTTGGTTTCTTGAAAATCTTAAGAGAAAAGTAATTTAAACTATTTTAATTGCCTATAAAAAACTGTGCCAGGTATGGTGGTTCAAACCTGTAATCCTAGCACTTTGGGAGTCCGAGGTGAGAGGATTGCCTGAGCTCAGGGGTTTGAGACAAGCCTGAGCAACATGGCAATACCTCATCTCTACAATAAATAAAAAAAAATTAGCTGGGCTTGGTGGCACATGCCTGTGATTCCAGCTACTTGGAAGACTGAGGCAGAATGATCACCTGAGCCAAATAGGTCGAGACTACGGTGGCTGTGAACATGCCATTGCATTCCAGCCTGGGTGACAGAGTGAGACCCCAACTCAAAAAAAAAAAAAAAACTAACAGTATGATTATGTTCTCTTGATAGGAACTCATTTATTTTTCCTTTTAGTTAGTGAATTTAAAAGAAAGAACTTTGGAATAGAATTGCAACAATTGTCTGTGGTAGTGTGGCCGAGCGGTCTAAGGCACTGCATTTAGAATTGCAATAGTTAATTAGAATACTATAAAATTGAATATCTTAATCAACTATAGTGAAAATTAATTAAGAAAAATTGACAAAATAAGTTATGTTCAGTTTTTTCTGGATTACTTTACATCTCATTTCTCACAGTCATTTGTTGAAGAAATTGTAAAATTAAGAATATAATGTTTATCTCAGAATTACGTCTCTTTCTTTTCTTTTTTTTTTTTTTGAGTCAGAGACTCACTCTGTTACCTAGGCTGTAGTGCAGTGGCACGCTCACTGCCACCAAAGCCTTGACCTGCTGGGCTCAGGTGATCCTTCCGCCTGAGCCTCCCAAATGGCTGGAACCACAGGCATATGCCACCACGCCTAGCTAATTTTTTGATTTATTGTAGAGATGAGGTGTCACCATGTTGCTCAGGCTGGTCTTGAAACCCTAAGCTCAGATAATCCTCTCACCTCTGCCTCCCAAAGTGCTAGGATTGCAGGTGTGAGCCACTATGCCTGGCCTACCTCTCTTTCTTACATTACTTAGGTAAGGGCTGGGGTTGTTTTGTGGCACCATTGTGCTTTTAGTTGGTTGACCACTTAGTTGTAGTGTTACATTGTGAAATCTAGGCACTCTGAACTTTTTCACCCCAGTGTTGATATAATAGCTTTTCTTACACTTGATGTTAGGACATTCCCTCTTTGTAATTTCCCACACCTCCAGAAACAGGATGTATTTCTTTGGTGATAACAGAGCTCTAGACAACTGTGGGAAGCCTGATTGTGCTGGAAAGGTGGTTGAGTCCTTCCTCCTGCCTGCCACAGTCCTTTCACCACCATCTTAGCAAGGATACCGTGGTGCTTTAGTACAGAGCTTGGCAGAATTATGCTGCCCAGATGGGCTCAGTGGTTCAGCCTGTAATCCCAGCGCTTTGGGAGGCTGAGGCGAATGGATTGCCTGAGTCTGCGGATTTGAGACCAGCCTCGTCTCTACAACCACCGTAGCCTTGATCCATTGGGCTAAGGTGATCCTTCCACCTTAGCCTTCCATGTAGCTCTAACTACAGATGCACGCCACCATGTCCAGCTAGTTTTAAAAATGTTATTGTAGAGATGAGGTTTCACCAAGTTGCCCAGGCCAGTCTTGAACTCCCAGGCTCAGGGAATCCTCTTGCCTCGGCCTCCCAAAGTGCTGGGATTACAGGTTGAGGCACCACGCCTGGCTTCATTTTACTTATTAGCCTCATAGTTTTCATGTAATTTTAGTAAAATACTGGAAATAAAGTACTTTTCCTCTGTGTTTTCCTACTTCTTTAAATCTCCATTAACTTTCTGGAGAAAACTGATACTTATTTTCAAGTTCAAAGTTAGTATTTTTGAGGTTCTGACATTTACACATTTACTAAATGGGATTCTTTGGTTTTTAGGAATTCTTTTCAAAGAAGTCAGATTGCTCATTATTCCTGTTTGGCTCCCATAATAAGAAGCGGCCAAATAACCTTGTCATAGGTAAGCATAATTTACTTTTTAAAATGTTTTTATTTATGGAGTCAGCTCTGTGACTCAGATTAACTGATGGTACTGAGGAATCAGGAGTGACCAGTAAGCTCTAAACTAGTTGGGTGGGTTTTGTTTTTTTAACCTTAAGACATTGAATAAAATCATTTTTTACCTACTGGTCTCCAGGTAAAGAATGGGGCATGTGAGTATTGCCCCATTCATAAGGGGAGGTGACATGAGTATGAAGGAGTATGAGAGGGTGTCGGTTATCACATTTCCTTTCCTAGAAACCACTGTCCTCTCTGCTGGGAGTAGGTCTGGTATAAGAGTGTGGCTCCCTGGGCTCTGCAACCCCCACGACCGCCTTATACTTGCCGTGAGTGTCTCTGAGCTCCCTTGTGTCATAGGGTCACTGGAGTGGGAAAAAAGCTCTTACTTCCAGTTGTAGATGTTTTTCTAATATATATATCTACTAAATCAGTGTTAGAGCTAGAACAACACAGGGTAGTGAATCACCTACATAAAGTAACCCTAAAGTATTTAGTGTCTGTTGAGACAAAGCGTTTCTGGGTATGCTGAGATTTCATCTGGCATGTCCTCTGACGCAGGCCAGCCTTCACTCTCTGTGGGTCTTCAGTTATTCTTCCATAAAATTGTTAAAAGAAGAAAAACTAAGGCAAATGAACTTTACTAGAGTTTAATGGAGCCAAGAATGACTGGCTAGTGGGGCAGCCTTCCGAACCAGATGAGGGCCAGAGAGACGCCAGCACAGTGCGAGGTAGATGTGTGGGGAGAGAGGAGAAGGAAACGGAAGCGAGGGTCAGAAACTGCTGGGTTGGTTATAGCTCTGCATTTCCCTTATAGGAATCCATTCTGAATAGTTGACCAGAACTTGGTAATTGGCACAAGAGTAGGTTAGTCTGTTCACACACACATCCTGCCGGGTTACAGTTCATTTTGTGAAAGATTATGGAGAAACCTTTAGGCTAAGCCCAAATAAGTAAGCGGCAGCTTGGGGCTAAACTTAATTTAACAGAATAGAGGAGTTGAGCTAGATGCTATCTAAGGTCCTTTCTTCGTTTGATATCCTAACAGTCTATTTTAAGTAGAGCTGAGAATGTAAGAGAGACGGGCCTGTGTGGGGGTACAGGGAGAAGGAAAGTGGCAGATATTAGGGCATCATGAACATACGGACAAGTGGTACCTGGAAGGTGGCTGTTGGGGAATACACAGGCTCAGAAGCACCTTTTCCTTCCAGGTCGTTTGTATGACTACCATGTGCTGGACATGATTGAATTAGGCATCGAGAAGTTTGTTTCTCTGAAAGACATTAAGGTAAGACACTGGTTGTGGCCCTTGCTTTACTAAACTCTGGTGTGGCCATGTGCTCTTAGGGCTGTGGCTACCTCTCCCACCTTGGAGAAGTGAATCTCCTGTCTCTCTCTCCTCTGCTTTCTAAATAAACTATATTTTCAGATCTTTAAAAAGAAAAAAAAGACACTGGTCATAAAAATGAAGTGTTTTGTGATGCTACTCTCGACCTCTGGTGACACCTTGTGGTGAAGAGTCCTGACAGGGTCTGTAGATTTTGAAATGCTCTAAGACAAACGTGGAATTTTACTTTACCTTTAATCAATTAATTACTTTTTAATAAACTTTCTTTTTATGAGCAGCTTTAGATTCCTGGAGTCTATGGTCACTTTAGGGCTCACTCTTGATTGTGTGTTCTGTGGATTTGGACAGATGCCTGAAAGCATGTGTTACCATTGTGGCTCCCTCGAGGCCGGTGGCTACCCAGAATCCCATGCTCTGCCGTCCTTCCCTCCCTGGCTCCTAACCCTTGACAACGCTGACTCTGTAGTTTTACCTTTTCCAGGGTGTCATACAGTTGGAGTCATAGAGTATATAGCCTTCTCAGGTTGACTTCTCTCACTTAGTAATCAGCATTTAAGGGTCCTCTGTGCCTTTTTTATTTTTTTTTTGTTTTTTGTTTTTTTTTTGAGTTGGAGTCTCACTCTGTCGCCCAGACTGGAGTGCAGTGGCTGCTCCCGGCCACCGCAGCCTCGACCTGCTGGGCTCCGGCGATCCTTCCGCCTCAGCCTTCCGAGTAGCCGGAATTACAGGCATGCACTACCACGCCCAGCTGATTTTTTGATTTATTGTAGAGATGAGGTCTCGCTGCCCAGGCGGGTCTCGAACCCACAGGCTCAGGCAATCCACTCACCTCAGCCTCCCAAAGGCGCGGGATTACAGGCTGAGCCACCGAGCCCGGCTCTTTTTTGTTTTTTGAGTTGTAGTCTTAATCTGTTACCCAGGCTGGAGTGTGCAGTGGCACAATTAGGTCTCACCACAGCCCCAGCCTCCTGGGCTCAGGCAATCCTCCCACCTCAGCCTCCCAAGTAGCTGGGACTACAGGCATGCGCCACCACACCCAGCTAATTTTTTGATTTTTTTTGTAGAAACAAGGTCTTGCTATGTTGCTTCAGGCTGGTCTTGAACTCCTGGACTCAAGCAATCCTCCCACCTTGGCCTCCCAAAGTGCTGGGATTATAAGTGTGAGCCGCCATGCCCGCCAAAAATTGTTTTTTAGTATAAAAACCTGTAAACTTAAAATTTTCCTACATCAGCCAAACATGGTGGTACACACCCGTGGTCCCAGCTGCTTGAGAGGCTAAGGCAGGAGAATTGCTTGAATGCAGGAGTTTGAGTCCAGCCTGGGCTATACAGCAAGATCCTGATTCCAAAAAATAATAATAATAACAATCCCACCTCAGTTTTTAAGTCTAAAGTCAGTATTTGCAGGCGTAGTTTTAGGACAGTTAATAAAATGTGAAAACAAATTACTGTATATAATTATTGACTACTTTAAAATTAGCATATAAACAGTTAAGACTTTTTTTTTTGGTCAGAGTCTCGGCTCTGTCACCCAGGATGGAGTGCAATGGCACGATCATGGCTCACCACAGCCTCAACCTCCTGGGCTTAGGCTATCCTTGCGGCCGCATCCTCTGAAAAGCTGGGACTATAGGTGCATTCCACCATACTCAGGTAGTTTTTTTTTTAAAGAGAGATGAGGTCTCACTGTGTTGCCCAACCTGGTTTTGAACTCCTCAACTCAAGCGATCTTCCCACCTCGGTCTCCCAAAGTGCTGGGTTACAGGCAAGAGCCACCACGCCCGGCAGCAGTGTAGACTTTGATAATTAGGTTATTACAATTTCTTTCTCGTTTCATAGAACAGTAAATGTCCCGAGGGTACAAAACCCATGTTGATATTTGCTGGTGATGATTTCGATGTGACAGAAGACTATAGGAGACTAAAGAGTATTCTTATTGGTAAGTCTGTCTTCATTATTTTTTCCCCTTTCTGTAGCAGGAAGTTGATTAACTAACTTGGTATAGTTGAAGGCGTTGTATTGTGTTGATGATTGTTTTTTGATGCTTTAGTAACTCAAGTAATCCTCTTATTTACATAGTGACTGTTTTACACTTGATAAAATGCACCATCTCCTGGCTTCGTTAATCTAAATTTAGAAAATGGGAAAATTAAGATTTCAACATTGTCATGCATCATCTACTCAAAAACTGTCATTAGTTTTTCTTAGCTGGATATACAAGACCTTTGCAATATGGCATCAGTATAACTTGCCCTGTTGATCTCCTGTTTCCTCCTTTTCCATGAAAAGAGTGGTTTAGTGACAATATATTATTGACATTCCTGTTACCTTTCCTGGTATCATTCTGGTTTGCCCAATTTCTACCATTCTTTTAAGTTCCACATCAGATTTTTTTGCCAGGAAACCCTCAGTGCCCTGCCAGTTCCTTTTCCCTCATCATCGTCTTCATCTTCATGATGTGAAATGCCAAGCGCACACCAGGTGCTTTATAGATTGTGCTTCATTCTAATGATAACTTGTGAAGTTGCTTTATAGATGACTTACTCCTTGTGAGCTATGCTGTTTCCTAATGATCTACGCAATGAACCTGAGGGCTACATTCTTTCCTGTGTGTTCAGAAGTCACATTAAAGTCTGAGATAGAGTTATTGTCTTTGTCTGGGAAAAGTGTTGAATTTACCAGTCTTTAATCCACATTTACTTCCTTTTTTTAAAAAGCTGGTAAAGGGTCTGAGTGTGTCTCTGTGCCTCTTAAATGGAAGAAAAGCTCCTTGCTGAGTCTTTGCAGCCTCTCCCTCTTTCTTGCTCAGACACATCCTTGGGTGAAGGCAGCACTGTGGGATGAGGAGTGAAGTTCCCCCTTCCCAGCACCGCTGGTGCTCGAGCAGCAGACCTTTGCATCTGCTTCACCTCCTGATTGGCAGCCCTGGGGTCCCTGTCGGTGGCAGTTTCTCAAGCTTCACTAACTTATAGTTTGCTCCACTGGAGCTTTTCTCGCACCATTCCTACAAGCTTAGGGTGTGCTTTTTGTTGCCACTTTTAAATTTTCCATATATTTTGCCCTAGACCACTTTTGAAAAATTGGCAACCAGTTGCGGTGACTCACGCTTGTAATCCAGCACTTTGGGAAGTGGAGGTGAGAGAATTGCCTGAACCCAGGGGTTCGAGACCAGCCTGGGCAATTTGGTGAGACCTTGTCGCCACAATAAATCAAAAAATTAGCTGGGCGTGGTATCACACACCTGTAATTCCAGCTTCTTGGAAGGCTGAGGTGGAAGGATCACCTGAGCCCACCAGGTCGAGGCTGCAATGGCCGTGAGCATGCCACTGCACTCCAGCCTGGGCAACAGAGTGAGACTCCAACTCAAA